TTCTTGACTTCATGCGTGGTTGTGAATATAGGTAGGTAGGTACTAATTTTTATTGAGGTCCTGGAGAAGTCATCCCCCAGTTTTCACGGAGGAATGAAAAAGATCAAAAAGGGGGGATGGGGCTTTGCCCAAATCCCATTCATGTTCATATTGTACAACTATAGTTCACAGAACTTGCTGGCATTCCTTCATTTTATCGCGTGCTTTTCTTTCCCGTCCCCGCGGCACCTGATCAGCGCCTGAATGTCCATCCCTCCTTAGCCATTCAGCATGTGTTGATTTAATTACCTTCAGGAAGAGGATAGGTGTTTTATAGTAAGTGCGACCTTCTTGACGTCGCGAGAAACTCGTTACAGTGTGTAAGCAACTGTGGCGGAGATGTCGTTGTGATGCGCGCTAGTTTCCTACGTTTGGTTTGATAAGCTGGGCACCACCTCAGGCGAATCGGCCTAGTTCCGCTGGATGACTACAGTCATGTCGCCTTGCTTTTCGTTGGATGCATTTGGGCGCATTGCACTTGTGTTCTGCGTCTCTGTGAATTTTGGCAGAATAGCGCTGTAGTAAATTCCAAAAGCCGACCACATAAAGTCACAAGGGCAGCATTGACGTAGTTACGGGAGAGCGAGGGGGGAAGGGATACGTCAACGCATTCAATATGCATACGTATATGTATATTTCAGTGGATCATACCGATGGAGTGACTGGCGCGTGAGGAGTAGACAGGTGTAGGAGAACGATGAAGTTGAAGTGTGTTGGATTGGGTGCGCGTTAGCTGCTCTTGTACGTGTTATTTGGTGGCAGTGGTGGGATTCGGCAGCATGGAACGCCCGAAGGACGACTTGTCGGGGGACGCACTTGAGGAGTTCTTGGAAAGGTATTACCGAAAGTGGGAAGCTTTATTGAACAGGTGCGCTTTGACTTGACCAATATACTAGGAAATACCGGTCATGCCCCCAACTCAGCTTTAGTGGCAGCCACTCAGGACGTCAGAGAGCAACGTGTGGTTGTTCAGGAACAAAACCAGGTTTGTTTCAAGAATAAGCCAGGCGTGCGCAAAGATGAACTGATGTGCTGTGTCGGCGGTGTGTGTAATGACGAGGAGGACGCATGCGAGAACGATGTTCATGTGAGTGCGACCTCACGTGAACATCGGAAGAAAACGGAGCAGGTGGCCGTATGTGAAATGACACCTCTCAGCTTTGTTGAGAGCAGCAGTTCAGAGAATCTGGCGAAGGCGAATGGCACATGCGGAGAAGCACGACGCCGACGCCGAAGAAAGAAGAGGAAAAGAAACTTTGACGACTTTGATGAAGGACATTTCGAGAGCCCGGCGATCGTCGCTTGTGACTCTCCATCACAGCTGGGACCTACCACAATGACTGTGCAAGACACCTCAAAGAACCTGTGCTCTAAAATATGGCGTCAACCACGGAAATCAGAGCAACAGCCCGATCCTCTATTGCGCCCACTCACAACAGCTTTCCGGGAATTACCGAAGACAGGCGGCTATGGGAGTTCTGCGCCTAACATTGGAATAACAGGGCTTGGTAAAGAGGCGGAAGACATACGTCACTCTTATCATGACCTGAACCACATCAAGTAGGGACCTGTTCTTCAACAGCTGGTGACAAGTAAAATGATCGTGAACAGACAGCCGAGCCAAGAGACAAGTTAAGAAGACTAGGTTCACACTTCGGAGAACACCATTGAAAAAAGAGCGCAACGGACTTGCGGCAGTGTATTGTTCACGATCCGGCAGGCGAAGTCATGTACCCTGTGGCACAGATCCTTCCAAAGGTCACGGTTGTCGACAACAGCTTTTTTTATCACCCGTGCAAGTTTTCCACAACGGCCTATATGTCTTAAGAATGAAGATGGTTCGTCATCGCAAAGACTGCCCGCTGCGTTCAGTGCACCACCATGCACTATACTTTAGTCAAGAATAGAACTGCCTTCAAGAAACTATGATATCGCCCACCCTCTCTCCTTATTCTACCTCCTCACCGGTGGAAATATGTTATGGGGTAAAGTGACGGGTAGTGGGACACTAATAGCAGAGGAGAGCCGCAGGACAGAGAACTAGGAAGACGAAGTGTTTGATAACCGTGAGACTGGTGGCAATGACTGCTAGATTAAAGCTGTGTTTAAGTGTATTTCGCTTATGCGTGTTTAGTTTCCGCCACAATATTGGTACACAAGATGTATATACATAGACAAATACACATATTAGCATGTTGTGGGGATCAAGCGCGCCCTCCCCTTTTGGCGCCTCGCTTCCCTATGTACTAGCGTGAGCGCTGTCCCTGTGCGGCTCGAGCGTCGGGAACATGGCCACCGTGGTTTCGCAGTCAGGCCTTTTTGTCTGGACTACGGCGTAAGCCCCACGTTGGTTTTTCCTGCACGTAGACGCGTGCACGAACTTGCCCCGACGACGCCTCTCTCTCGAGTCACGCTGGCACACGCAACCGCGCTCCACCGATCCTCATTGGCCGCCCGTGACAGTCCCTCTCCCGGTAGCTTGCCTTTGCCCGACTAGCTCAGTGGGTAGATAGAGCACGAGACTTTTGATATCAGGGTCATGGGTTCGGGCTTTACGTTGGGCGCCAGTTATGTGGAGATAGGTTTGCTAATGGCGTACCCAAGAAGCGGCCGGAAAGGGACGCGAAGCTCTCCACTGCCGTTGCGTACAAAGACCTACGGCTGGGTTCGCCGATTCTCCCACACAATCCTGCACCAAAGGTATATAGACGCGCTGCTGTGCAGGTGGCCTCTCGTACGCGCCCTCAGCTGCTGCCCTTTGTGTGATAGTCCTATATTACCTGCCGGCAAACGTGCGCTCAGTCGGTCTTGCGGAGTTCCCTGCCGACCCCGAAGCCCGTGATTGTCGCATTGTGCTGTATCTTGGGTAAATAAACTCGTGTTTGTTCACGACCTGCGTCGCGTACCATCTCTGAGCCGTGTCGGAGAGTCAATGAATCCGGCCGTACCTTCTTTGTGCGTTACGGCAGCGGAAAGTGATGCGTCCCTTCCCGGTCGCTTCGTAGGGTAAGCATTTACTAAACCTATCTCCCCCATGTGTAAGTCTATACACCATCATTATCATCATCATCAGCCTGACTAAGCCCACTGCAGGACAAAGGCCTCTCCCATGTTCCGCCAGTCAACTCGGTCGTGTGCTTGCGTCTGGCACTTCATACCCGCAAACATCGTAATCTCATCTGCCCACCTAACTTTGTGTGTCCCACTCACCCGCTTACCTTCTCTGGGAATCCAGTCAGTTAACCTCATTGACCAGCGGGCCCCGCCGCGGTGGTCTATAGTGGCTAAGGTACTCGGCTGCTTGCCCGCAGGTCGCGGGATCGAATCCAGGCTGCAGCGTCCGCATTTTCGATGGAGGCGAAAATGGTGAAGCCCGTGTGCTCAGATTTGGGTGCATGTTAAAGAACCCCAGGTGGTCAAAATTTCCGGGGCCCTCCACTATGGCGTCTCTCATAATAATATGGTGGTTTTGGCACGTTAAACCCTACATATCAAACATCAATAATTTACCAGCGGTTATCCTGCGTGTGCGCTACGTGCCCGGCTCCTGCCCAATTCTTGTTTTTGATTTCAACCATAATATGCTTAACCCCGGTTTGTTCCCTGACCCACCCTGCCTTCTTCTTGTCTCTTAACGTTACACCTATCATTTTCCTTTCCATCGCTCGCTGCGTCTTCCTCAATTTAAGCTGAACCCTCTTTGTAAGTCTCCAGGTCTCTGCTTCGTAGCTAAGTACCGGCAAGATGCAGCTGCTATATACCTTCCTCATGAGGGATAGTGGCAATCTACCTGTCAAGATTTGAAAGTGTGCCAAATGTGATCCACCCCATCCTTCTATTTATGTCACTCTCATGATTCCGCTCCGCGGTTAATACCTGTCCTAAGTCGGCATATTCCTTTACAACTTTCAAAGGCTCTTCACCTGTCGCAAAGCGCCATTGTCTTCCGAGGCTGTTGCACATTACTTTCGTTTTCTGCAGCTTACTTTTAAGACCAACCTCTCTGCTCTCATTGTCTAACGCAGTAATAATCAGTTGCAATTCGTCCCCTGAGTTACTCAGCAATGCATTGTCATCGGCGAAGCGCAGGTTACTAAAGTAATCTCCATTAACTATTATTCCTGAGTTACTCAGCAATGCATTGTCATTGGCGAAGCGCAGGTTACTAAAGTAATCTTCATTAACTATTATTTCTTACTCTTCCCATTCCAGGCCTCTGAAAACCTCCTGTAAGCACGCTGTAAATAGCATTGGGGTGATCGTATCTTTCTGTCTCACACCCTCCTTATTCTCTTGCTTTCTTTATGGAGCACTATGGTCATCGTCTGCAGATTTTTTCCATCTAGACGCGCTTACACAAATGCACGCATGAACATATATAGAGGGTGATTGCACTTCTCTCTCCCACTTTCCCCCCCACACACAGACACACAAACTCACACAAATACGCTTGCGGCCTTGTTGTGATGAAATGTCCGTCTGTAGATCGGCAGTAGACGAGCATGCGATGTGGAAATTATTTATTGGTAGTTCCAGCAAAATGACAAGGGTGACAGTGGGTGAACCCGCCTGGCAACGTCGATCTTCCATTTGTGTACAGAGAGTAACAGTTATCGGCGACAGTTTTCGAGGTTGCCTCTCGTAGTCTAGACACGGCATCTTTCCAGAGCGCATTCGTGCCGCCGGGACGGGGCGAAATTGGCTGTTTCTCATCGCGGGACCATCTGGGCGCGGTCGTTCGGGTCAGCGGGGACTCCTTGTTCCCCCCGCGTTGAGCCCCGGACGAGGGGCACGTGCGCGTGCATGCCAGCTGTGCGCGTCGAGGTCGGAGAGGGGCCGATCGACGCTGGACGCCGCAGCGAAAGTCCCCCCCCTTCCTCGGCGCTCTCTTTCCCGTCGGCTGCGTTTGATGGCTCCCCCCTCGGGCTTCCTCGTTCTCGCCGCGGGCCGCCGTCGAGCCAGTTCGTCAGTCGGCGGAGGCTGGTGCAGCTGCCGCGTTGCGCTCGTCGTCCACGCGCGGCCACCGCCGGTGTCGTCGACTCGGTGCATGCGTGTCTCTGCGACGACGCGTTGGAGGAAGCCCGCTGCATTCTCTGTGTGTGCGCGTCTTGCCAGACCGACGTCGTGGGTGCTTGTGGGGCTGCGGAACGAGAACGTGCCCTTGGCATCTCACCTCTGGGTGACGGAGCGTACGGTTGCGTGAGCCCTCCTCGGCCACGTGTGTTTGTTGCCCGTGACAAAACTCGAAGCAGTGGCTGCCACGCCAACCAAGTGACGGATGGCGCGAGCGCTTTAAGCGAAAAAACAGCGTGGGTCGCCGTCGTTACCACCAGCGACGAGACTGCCGGCTCGGCGCGTGTGACGCCGTGGGTGCTCACGGCGCGGGCGTCGCGAGGTGGTCCTCGTTCCCCGTGTTCTGTGTGATGTGCTTCGCTGCGGAAACCCAACTGGAGGAATGCTGAAGGCCGCGGATAAGGGCCGCCGCTCCCTGCCGAGGCGCCAGCCGCCCAAAAGGGTCGCCTTCGCGGACGACGTTCTCGTCGACGGGACCTCCTCGGTAGGTCGCGCGATGACAGGGCGCACGCCCCCGGCTGCACGGGGCTCTGCACCGTCCCAAACTGCAGTGCACGGTGCACGGCCCTGTGGCATGCCGGGTGCCCACACCGCGTTTAAAATTCAGGTGTGGGCGCGCGCCTTTTCGTTTCTTTACTGCTCCTCTCGATTTGCATGTCGAGGTTAGCTACACCGTGGACGGAGTCAGCGCATTGGTTATACAACTGAGAATATATGCGCGTCGGTTAAGAGTGTGGGAAAGTTTACGTTCATGTTTATATGACTTCGGCACATCTGCCTATGTACACATGACGCGCTTTCATGCATAATAATATACTATACTAGTGCTGGAATTTCGCGGAACACGGGAGTCACGAAAACTCAACTGTGCCTCGTGGGTGTGTGGGCTCCTGAAATTCGCAGCCAGCCGTTTGCGACTTTGGACCCTGGGCTTCCCACGGCTTTCACCCTTGCAGTGCTATTGTAGTCCGGCTTGCATGAAGTTTCGTGGCTTCGGAAGTACAAAAAAAAAGTCTCCTCCTATCTATGTCTTAATTTTTCCCCTCTGGCTGTAAAGTGATGGCGGTCATGTTTGCGTTTAGGTGTCATGTGAGTTCACTTAGACTTTATTTATTCATGCTTTTTCGTCTATTTATCCTCTCATTTGCAACTTGGTAAAACGTTTGTCAGCAGCATACGAACATTTTACGTGTTATATCAACGCACACTGTTGGTTGGCGCGCTTTATGATACACATAGCGCCAGACGCCATTGACTGGGCCAAAAGAAAAGGAAGCTGGTATTTAAGGAATGACCAATTACTATTTTCCTGGTAGCAAGTGTTTTGAGGGCTGAGCACAATAAACACGCGCCTTTGAGATTGAGCTGCGGCTGAGGCAGGGCATCTCGGTTGAGTTTTCTTCAAGGACATAGAAGCGTAGTCATTTAATGAGAGAGAAAAGTGTGCCTTGAGGAAGGGGGGAGGGGTAGCTTTTTTGAAGGGCGTGTAGTAAGCCACTATATGGCAAGCTGTTGGAGATTGGTTCTTATTAGTGGGCAGCTGCCAGATAGCGCTTGTGCGATTTCCCGTCCTCGCCGATGTTACGATCAGTCGCCGGAGGGCGCGAAACGGCTGGTTGCGATAAAGCGCGCACCGACCCGCCGGTTGATTAGAGGCGGTTGTTGGCCTGTTGCTCTCTTGCGTCACTCCCTGTCGCGGTTTTCACTTTTGGAATGCCTGTCACGTAGCTTAGATTACGTTACAACGTTAAAGGAGCTTGGCAAAAAAAAAAAAAAAACGCGCGCGCGACGTTCAGCGATGTCTTGGCGCATGCACTGTGACAGCCGTCGCTCAATGGTGTTGCATACGCGTGCTTGTTTCATGGGAGGCTAACGGTTCGTCGACTATGATGCCGCGTTAGCGAATTATAAACGCTATAAGCGCTGTTAGGACCAGCGCAATGCCGCTGGTTGATATAAGCCGGAATTTCGGAATGGCAACACGTACACATGATGAAGTTGCCGCACGTTTCTCTCTCTCTCTTTCTCACTTTAGGCCATTTTAAGGGTGTCCAGTGCTTCACGGTGTTATTGCGATATAACAGCTGCATGCGTAACTCAGCAATGTTGATTTTCGACCTGTGCTCAGCAATGTTGATTTTCGACCTGTTTGACATAAGTACAACAGGAATTGACATGTGTAAGGCAAATAGAAAAAAAAAGTAGGTGTGTACCTTGAAGAGTCACTAAAGACGAACAACGCCTTGGTTTAGATTGATAAACTGCACTCTGAGAACTCCAGTACCCTAAGTTTCTCTGCCATAAGGTCATTATTAGGCGAGGAAATCGAGGTTGAACTTTCATTTCTAAATTTCGCGCCGAAGTCTCCATGCTTGACGTTAGAAATTTCAATATGTATTTTTCGTAATTTCGCCACACTGGCTTGATGAAATTTTCTGAAGCTTCGTAATCTGGGTCGATGGCACCCATAGATGACGATGCACTTCCATTTTATAGATTAGAAGGTATACGTATACGACCCAATAGACGCCTTTGAAATTTTCGGCGTCACGGTGTTTGGTGCGGAAATCTCAATGTGGCGTCTCCACTCGCATTTTGTTTTCTCGCTTATCAAGCGTCGTTTCACGAGAATAGTGGTGTTTGCGGCATTGTGAAATTGCTCTATACTGATATGTGAAAGAAAAATTGTTTTGCTCGTTAGTGGCTCTTCAATCATCCTTCCGTTAAGCACTTCGTCAAGGTTTTCAGACACCAATATAGTGGAGGCGTTACTACATCGTAAATCAATAAGCGGCAGACTATTCGTTCGACTACAAGGTAGGGCTAATGAATCGTATTCGTATACTGCGCGAGGTGACGCAGATCTCGTGTCATCCTTGCCTCCGTCCTCGTCTAATGGCGCTGTATCTTACAAATTGAAGCTGCACCGTTTGCGTGCCATTACACAACATGAGTTATCGCGGACCTCGGGTGAGCCTGGACGCTGTCACTGTGTGGGGCACGCTTCCTGCTACGGGACCGCTATATTATCGCCGCTTACCCTGTACGCCAGAGGGCACCTGGTCACGCGCGCTAACCTCGTTTTGGCGGGCTCGCTAATGCCTGTGCTCCGCTAACACTGCAGGCGCTGTTACGCAATAACGAAATTAACTAGATTGGGCCTATTAGTGACTGCGTTCGAGTGCAGTTTAGTGATTTGTTGATGTTATGCGTAATGACGACACTTTGTCGTGAGTGAGCTAAACATACAAACTAGAGGAAAGTTCACAGAACGGTCATAACTAATTATTTATTTAGAACGGTGCGAAACATGGAACAATGAAGCACACAAGACGCAGCGCTGCGTCCTGTGTGTTTGTTTCACTGTCCCACATTTATGCGCTATTTCGCCATAATGTTTATGAACCAACGATATCCCGCCTATGAACCCTTGTGCCTAAAGTATATACATAATGAATGAACCGGTGACTTCTCTGAAGCCAATGTTTCAACCAAGGGGCCCAGACAAGTCTGCTTGTGCCATACGCTCCAGCACCAGCCCTACGATCATGCATTTCTGATCGTAAAAGTCAGAGCACACTCCAATAGCGGACCCAACGAATATAGATAGATTGGTTTTTTTTTTTTTTGGCACGTTGCTCATTCTCTATTTTCCTCTGGCACCACTGAAGCTAATGCAGTGCTCAAGTGTTATAGGTAGGGCGCGAAAAGCTCGCTTTTGAGGCACGTTTGGCGATATAACCGAAGGTCTCGTTAAAGCGAGCATTTCGACATTGTTATGCCGCCTTGGCCATGCGTAAACTGATCGCATAAGTATATCCTGCTTCATTGTTCGATGCACCGCACTACGAGCATGCATGACGAATGCGGTATCTTGGTTCCCTTATAATATCGCCCGTCTGTTTCATTATTTCCTTCGGTCTTTTTTATTTTATTGTTTTTCCGTGCTTACCACGAAATTGCTACAGTATACCTTTGCGCCGTTACCCCCGAGCCTTCCGAGGGCATTTTTATGCTCGGGAATGGTCAACGCACAGTGTGTGGCGATGCGAGTGTGGTTTCTAGTTTTCCGCTGTGGTGATATAGGCGCGGCAAGCTTGCAATGAGACAATTACTTACCCCTCGGTTGTAAATTAAATTTGTGTCGTTTTACGTGCGAAAACCACGATATGGTTGTGAGACACATCACTGTGAGGGACTTGCGTTAAATAGCAGCACGAGGGGTTCTTTGTCCAGCACGTAAATCTAAGTACACCCGTGTCTTTGCATTTTGCTTTGTTGAGGTGCTACCGCCGTGGCCGGGCAGCGAAACCACGTCTCGAGCTTGGCCGCTAAGCTGTACTACGCCGGGTGCCCCATGCAGGTTACAGACGTTGCGTTGATGAGCCGATCTCTTCTCGTTCAGGGCACAGTCAGAGAACGTATACCCCCTTCAGAGCACGAGCGCATAAATGGTTGCAAGAATGTAACTGAGCGTTCGTACATTTTTAAGAAGCACGTCTGTGTGTAGTAAAACGTATGGAAATATATACGTGAATGTTCCGAAAATTAGCAGTTAAATTATCCCCCTTTTTTTACATATACCAACATGCACAAATGGTGCGCACTTTGACCTCTTGCTTTACGATTTCATCAGACCGACCTTCCTGTGGAGTGTCTGTCATCCAGCCGCAAACAAGTACGACGTCTCTTTGTTTCATTAGGCGCGCCATGTCGCTGGTGCTCTCGCAAACTGCGGGGTCGCGATATTCAACGCTCGCACGGGGGAAATAGTATCTTATCGCAAAGGGCACTTAGTGTGTGTGTGCTACCAAACATTGTTGGCGAATGCGCAGCTGCGAAACTAGAAAAAAAGCAATTGTAATAGGGTCATTCTATAACGTCCCAGTCATTTTCGTGACCGCCTCAAATATATTTGAAAAAAAAAAGTGCTTATTTACTGCATTGAAAAGAGTGAAGCGATAGAATATTATCGAGGTAAACATTTTTTTGCTCACGTGGCTGCCTTCTGAACTTCCCGGAGTGTCATTTGGGTGTTGTTTGTCGAAAAAAATATTTTAAAAGTACCGCTGCTTTTTTTTCTATAACAAATTTGGTCTACATATCAAGTAATGGTTCTTGTGTAATGTGTTTGAAGCTCAGTAATGTTAGTGCGACTTTACTGGCACATGCGCCTCCAAAAATTTAGCCAGAATGTGTTATGTTTGCATTTTTTCTATTGAAATGCTGCACTTGACGACAATGAGAAAGTTCAACGCGGCAGCGGTCTTATGACAAAATGGAAAGATAGGCGCCAATGGGAAAGTTCAAAAATCATTTTCTTCCTTAAAACGAGAAATGTAATGATGAGATTTGCCATATGAAAAGAAATGCTTAATTGATTTTGATTTAAGTATAAAGGTGACTTTTAATTGGACCACCACGTGGTGCGAATTACATCTCAGTATGGACAAAAAATGACATTTTTTTGCAAAAATTGTGATT